CCCCCCCCCCCCCCGAAAATAGCGACTCCCCAAAAGTAACGTTAATTTTTCCCTTCCTATTGAGCCCCAAAAGTAATGGTCCCCCCGAAAGTAACAGCCCTTTGAAGAAGTCACTAAAAGAGAAAGTCTCTGTCCTCATGCAGATGGAACAGCCTGAGTGCAGGACTGAACCGTGACTTGAAGAACTCTCTGTGATTTTATTTCGAACTTGACTTAATTTTTCTTCAAACTATGATTTAGCAACTGTGTTTGTCTAGCAGCAGAGTCAAATGATATACTGTGGGGTTATCAGTTGTATTGCGATGTAATGCGACAAGTATACTCTTGATTCACCCTACGGTACCAACCGGTTTGGGGCCTTTTTCTGTTTATACAGTCTGCTTAGTTTATGAGGGTAGTTGGAAACATACATCAACGGAAGGTTTAATTTCTTAGTTACATGTCTGCTTTGCCTGAAACGACTGTTACTGCACAAACGTTTTTTGAACATCCAAAAGTAACAGGGGCTGTTACTTTCGGAATTCTATGGTATAGAATGTCATCTTGTTCTATATATTGATGGAGGTGGCGGCAATTGTACCCAATATGATGTGTATCGCACAAATCACATTTGAATTCATACACTACACTTTGCTGACACTCAGATGATCAGTGATCTTTTTGCTTATGAAAACTGGCTTTTTGTAAAACAGTGCATTTTCAATGTTCCAGTACAGAAAGAGGGAAGCTTGCCTTGATTTCACACTCACACAGTTTGTAATCTACACTTTGTTGTTATCGGATTCTCCATATTTAGAGGCAGTGGCTCTTAAGATCTTGTTGAATGTTGTGGCTAACAAATACAGGCTGAATAGAGACATGAATCTTCTGGCTTAAATCTTTAAGTTGACCTTGTGAAGTATCAGCTGAGGCCTGGTCTTTGAATGGGAGGACAATGCAAATGGGGTCTACAGCATCAGGTTTGGCCAGTGAAGAAACAGGCTGATCAGATGCTTTTACCACGATGAAATGTGTGATGGTGGAATTGATTACTTTGTCCGGAAATTTAAGTTGAGAGAAGAACAATTTAAGGCGATCGTACTCTTTGGAGTTGTACGACCAACTGGAAGAAAGCATGATCTTTACCAGGCTGCGTTTATATCGGTCATCGACACGACTCTTGTGGTGCAACAAGAGGCCAGTGTTTGTGGGTTTCACATAAACTTTTGTCCCAGTGTATGTAGACTTGTTAAGCTGCTCTTTGCCGAGAAACAGAAGCATGCCATTGTTTTCCATCTCCATGGTAAACTTAATAGATGAATGACCATGGTTAAGAGTCTCAAGGAAGACATTTGCTGATGTTTTGTTGGGCATAATGGTTAACATATGGTCCACATATCTCCTGTAATATGTGGGCATCTTGCCTTTGTGTTCCAGGGTTTCTTCAATGCAGCACATGAAAACACGACCAAGCTAGGAGCCCATGGCAACACTATTGGTCTGTTTATATAGTTGACCATTAAACAAGAAAAGCTGGTCCTTTATTGCCCCTCTCAGAAGATCAATGAGGTCTTGCTTACTGAGATTAAGGTGGTGCATTTCATTGAACCAATCATTCAAGAAAGCTCTGTCAGCAAGTAAGTGTATGGTTTCTTCCAAAGGCACATTGGTAAATAATGAAGAAATCATAGGAAACCAGGACATCACCATTATTGATTGTCAGTGTATGGACTTTATTCACAAACTCGAAGGTGTCAGTTGTCATGTACTGGTTGTTGGCAAGAGGTTTGAGTTTGTGATCTAGCCATTTTGTCAGTGCGAAGTTGTATCTCTGCGTAGCTGACAAAACAGGCCGCATAGCTAATTGCTTCTTGTGTGTTTTGGGCAAACCATAGAGGTGAGCTAGCTTAGAGCCAGATGGAAAAACTGAAGCTGCAATTTCATTAGGCAGGATTCATCAAACATGTGATTCGAGTTCCTTCTCTTTCTGATGGAGAGGGTGATAGTACTTCGGCCTCTGGATCAACCACCCTGAATTTGGTGACATCATTTATGTATGCTAGGAGGCATAAATATTCATCCTTGTCCATAATGAAGACAGCAGATCCTTTGTCAGGTTTAGTTACAGTATTTACTATTTCATCATGTTTCTTTAACTGATGAATAGGCTTCAAGGGTGTTTGTGTAGGTTTAGGTCCCTTTTAGTGGATATAATTTAGTGCCACAGATTGAAAATTGGATGCTGTGAGGTCACAAAGATCATCTGATAAATGTGGCTTGAGTTTCCAGTAAGCTTTCTCAAAGCTAGCCTTTACGTCAATCGAGAGTGCATGTTAGGGATGGCAAATTTTGGCACAAGGTCTGACTTATGGTCTCTGGCTGAGTTCCTAGCCTGCGGGTTCTGACGCGATGACCTCCTCCCTGTCCACCTTGGCCTGTTGGCCACCAACTGCTCCCTCATCCCCATTGAGGGAGTATTTTTCACCAGGCTCACAGCAAACTCTTGCAACACTGAGTTGTCATCATGCCACTACAAGGTTTAAGTCAGCAGCTCAGTCCAAGCTATGTACCTTGTGTGAGTTGCTGCTCAACTTTGGTCTTCCCTTGAACGACTTCCCATCTTTCAAGAAAACAGACAGGCCTAGAGAGGGGTGTCACACAAGTAAACCTGACATCCCTGATGTCCCCTACAAGCTTCCCTTCCATCTTGCATGCCGTTTCCCAAAGGCCACCTGGAAGACAGTCACAGATGCTTGGAGTGGCTACCACAGCATCCCACTGATCCCCTCTGATTGTCCCCTGACCACTTTTATCACACTGTTTGGCCACTGATGATACACATGAGCACCTCAAGGATTCCTCTCTTTGGGAGACAGCTATAATTGTTACTTTGATGCCCTACTACTATCCTTTGAGCGCAAGGGATGCTGGGTTGACAACAACATACACCATGACTCTGACCTGGAACAGCCCTGGTGGAGAACAATAATTATTGACTTCCTCACGCTTGTCGGTCAGGCTGGTATTGTGCTCAACTGACCCGCATAAATTCCAGTTTGCGGAGAGAAGCGTAGACTTTGCGGGATTCAGAGTGTCAGATACCACTATTGAACCACTCCTGAAATACTTAGATGCCATCAGAGACTAAAAACATGGCTGACCTAAAAACGGTCCCCGGTCAGCAGGTTTACTGGGCCAGCGGTAAACTCTGCACATACTGTTGAAACAAAAAATAAGTGAGATCAAAACTTAACTGCAGCATATCTCTCAGCATTTTACAGGATAAATTTATGTAGTTCCAAAAGGTTTTTAGATTTTCCTATGTTATTCCATTATTGTTTGTATCCACAGAAAGAGATGTATCACATCAGAAAACCAGTTTGACTTTTTGAAAGACTTAGTAGCTAATGTTCCGGATCTACCTTCAAATGAAGAGGAACGAGATGGAGAACCCAAACCAAAAAGGTATGCAAACCACTTCTGCCACAACAACTTAAGACCAAACATATTTCTGTTTCTCAAAATGATAATACGATAAAAAGGTTGTTAATTTTATCACCAGGCAATTTATGTTTTCCTGAAATGTTTCTGAGTTTGGTCATTATTTGTACTGCAATTTGGCCGTACACAAACTTTAGAAGATGCTCTAGATGGTATGTTTCATAATTTAGGAGATTTATCCTTGGTTTGCATTTAGAAAAAGGACTCCAAAAGATCCTGTGCAGAACAAAGAGAGAAAGAAATCTGATAAAAGAAAACCACAAACCATGACAGTGTCTGATGAGTCTGAAGAAGTGGAGTCTGAGGTCAGGAATGTTTGACACTTAAGTTTGTTATGCATAAGGAAGGGACCATATCCAGTAGACTAGTTGTTTGGCTAGCAGCAGGTACCTTTCCCTCTAAGAAAACAAGAAAACAGGAAAACAGCCTAAATTCTCAAAAGACGCCAAATATGTAAGAACCTTTTTGGGCTAACTTAATGTAGGTTCTCAAATGTGAGTTTTTACAGTACTAATGGTCCATTCCCTATCTTTGCCCCTTCATCTTTCCTAAGTTGATTTCCTTTAAGTGTATTATGGCACAATAGAGTTCTCTGGTTAACTGTTTAGTGTTGTGGATATCATTATCTTTGTAAGTTAACAAGGCTGTTAACTCCCAGATTTGACAGGTGTGAAATGCGTCAAACATAGCTTTAAGTTCACATCTTTCACATTGAATTATTTTCCTCCTTTGAATAACCATGACAAATAACTTCTTGGTCTGGCAAACTGTCTTGATGTACTGTTCTTGTCTGTTTGACACCCCAGAGATAGACAATCTACTGTAACTCTGCCAAATAAATAGGAAAAGGCAACTAGTTTGTAGTGAAAGAGTTGTTTCAGAATTGCCAGTCAGAGTAACTATAAAATTGTTGCCTCTTCTCGTTATAAGGGATTTCTCCTGTCCTCCACTCCACAAGTCAAAATTCTAATTGTTATCCATATGAATTTGTCGGTTTGTCTGGCCCTATTTCTTAACTTCTGTATCATTTAGTGTAATTAAATTCTTGTTAGGTTAGTTTGACATGTGTAGTAATAGGAGAGGGAAGTTGTGAAATTCTACAAAAGTTGACATGTAATGGTAGGATAAATTTCAGTAATTTGCTAATTTATCAACCAGGAAGAAGATTCTTCATCTGAAGGAACTAGTAATCATAATAGTGTGATGCCACCATCAATACCATCCATAACACTAACAAGGCCCAGCACAGCTGACCACAATCAAGAGTAAGTATCATTGAACTCAGCTAAATGTTCATATAATCATTGTTTATAAGCATGATGGGTGCAGTCTGATTGATCATTATAGCCATTCACTGTTGTACTTGTCAGTTAAACCACATTCCTATCATGGTTTATCATTTCAAGTAACCACTTGGAATGTTGGAATAACTTCACTGTTGTACGTCTAAACACGTCACTTGACTGAATATTCCCCAATTTTCAAAACCGTGCGTGTTACGAAAAAGATTTGAAGGATAATAAACACAATAGCCTCCATTTGGCGCGAAAATACGCTCGGATATTTGTCCTCGGACATTATCTGTTCCTCAAAGCTCACAGTTTTCCTCGAGCTACACTCTCGGAAATCTGTTTGTTTCTCGGAACAGATAATGTCCGCGGACAAATATCCGAGCATATTTCCGTGCCAAATGGAGCCTACTGTGTATATATCAGGACATCATAATAGTAGCCACAGCTTCTGATTGGCCAACTGTGAATTTGGTTATGGCAAATATAAAAAAAAGACTTAAGCGTGTTGGAAAACAGATCTCTAGTGTAATTGCTGACCCATGTGTATTTTGTTTTCAGATGTGAATCGTCTTTAGTGGCTGTGAATGCCCCCAGACTTGGTCAAATGTCAGGAATAATGGGCAACTCATTAGATGAAGATGATGATTACGACTCGTGAAAACCTTGAGGAAGAGACATTTTACTTCTTTTTAAAATAATTCAACCCATGACATCCTGCTGTTGATGTTTTGCTGCCTTGGCAAAAGGAATTTTAATGCACTGCATTTGACTCTACTCTTACATATCAGAGTGTCTTACACATCAGCCGAGACTGCAGTGGTAAACCAGTCAACACGATGTATTATTGACTGATATTTCCACAAACTCTGCATGGAGTTTGTGTTATCTTGTAACTTTCATTGGATTCTATTAATTAGCATTCTTCTGGCAAATACATCGCTGTTTTTTTTTTCACGGATGAAAGTCTTCTAGTCTTGAAAGACGTCTTAAACTCCAAAGGAAACTAGGTACAACCATTACTGATATTACGTAATGCTAAATAGTGAAGTAAGTTTATTTCCAAAGGAAAGCTGTTTTTACTATGAGTACTTTTGCACGTGCCTTATAATTTAGGACAGTGAAGTCTTGACAATACCATTCTGATATCATGCTACTTATTTTTGTTACTAGTCTTGACAATATTTTCCTCTTAGTAATGCATTTCTTCATTGGTTATTTGCTGTTGTCAAGACGTTGCTGAAGAAATTTGATGACGATAACGATCAGGACTAACGGACAAGGCTGATTGTCGACAAGTCATCTCTCAGTTGAATGCTTGACTAGCTCGAAGTCTTTAGATCACGTGGCATTTTGCTTCTTCATTGCATGCAAAATATTCGCTCTGTATTGTAATAAGCTGGTTCAGCAGTGAGTGCCTCAGATGGTTCAGTTCATACCACCTAAGGACTTGTGTAAATTAAACTGGATTAGTTGGAAGCCTCGAGTAACTTACTAGTGGTCGTCATTAATGAACTGTGTTGTCAGGTTTGTTCCTTTTTTACAAAACTATGTTAGCCCTGAGCAGTTTTATTGTACTGAAAATAAATTTGTACCAGATTTATTTTACTCGACTAGTATAATAAGTGTTTAACCCATCAAGCGCTCGATTGAACCAAAAAAAAAAGCCACAACTTGTCGTATAGAAATTTCGGAAAACGAATATGTGGGGATTTTCAGTGTGGTAGTGGCTCGGTCATGGTTGCCGTGAGACAGCCCGGATGAGTAGGAGTTCTAACATCCGTTCGAGAAACTTTAATAGTTTTACCCCACCGACAGAAATAAGCGTGCCCTAAATAATTTTCTTATATTTTTCAAATATATTTATTTTCCGATCATCTAGGTGAAAATGAGAAAAGGCGGATACCTCTTAAGTTATTCCATTTATCTGAAAATTTTCAGTCGAAAACCCCGTTCTATTTGGTTTTTCATACAAATGGACAGCACCCCTGGTTTTTCTTTCGTGACCCTTCCACTCCGCCGACTTCATGCTCACTCGCTGCTTTTGAAGCTTTCTCAGATGTTTATTCAGTGGAATATAGATTTCCATTTCCCATTCATCGAGTTTTTCTTGGAACCAGTACCAAATATCCTTCTTGCATATGTATTGTAGCATATTCATCACATATATTCCCATGATAAAATACGCAGTAGATCCGATACCAAGGAAATGGAGCAGTCCTTTCCAATAGAGGGATTTGTAATGCTGTCAAATGGTACAAACTCATCCCGTCTCACTTCGTATTGTTCCATTGGTCGGCATATTGAAAATTTTCTGGATTGGATTCGTGAGGTTTCCTTTTATAATTAGGCTCTCGTTTTTAAAGCAGATATTAAAATACCTCGCATCAAAATTCCAAAGCCGACCTCACAGGAGATAACCAGAAACGAGAAAACTAGAATGAGGGCGTGGGCTAAGACGCATGGTAAATCCATCAGATAACGAAATGAAGACAAGATTACAATGGACAGGGAGGGCAGCCGGAACTTTGGTACTGATAAAACTGAAGCGTTCTTGAAACTAGTCAATTTGAATACACTGAAAGGCGTAGAAAGAGGTCCAAGCGAAAGTGACTGAGCCGTCTAATTCAAATACCACCTGAGTCTCCTAACAACGAACAGGTAGACAGTTTGAGTCCTAGTGACAGTAACAGTGACTGAAAAGAAAAAGTAGACGGCGCTCTTGAAACAGCACTGAATATGATCTGTCCGACCAGGCTCGGAAGAATAACAACACTTACAACTCGGATGACAGATTTTCAGTGTAAGCGGGAATGACAGGAATGTGGAGTGGCAGGAAGTTGCAAGGACTTGTAACCTAATAATTGTTATAACCTCCCTACTTGCAGGGTTTAGTACAGTCTAAAAGATCCTATGGTCTTCAGAACATCTTCGCAAATCCTGGTGAATTTTTGGGTCTTTGTTGGCTAGTATTTAGAAGCCGTAATTTTGCGGATGCGAAGAGAAAAGAACTGGCATGTATAACACTGGGATTTTTTTTCTGAATTCTGCTTGTGGGAATGGGATTTGAGCACTGAGAAGTGGGATTTGCAAAAAAAAATTACATTTGGGCTGGGAAATACCCAGGCCCCCTATATTTATGGTTACACTATATGATTGTTACACCACGAGTACACTGGAGCAGGCGTACTTCTTCCTTGAGTAGTCTTAGACAAAAGTTCAGTGAAATGAGGCCAGCACACTCAAAATTTCAGTATACAAAGGCAATAGTTTGTGCCATACCTTCCTCACTTCCTGCTGAAGCACAGAGGCAAAATGATCCTGCAGAACCTGTGGACTTCGAAAAAGCCGTTCGACAACACCGTGAGTACGTTCTTGCGTTGAAAAATCTTGGATTAGAGGTGATAGAGCTTCCTGCAGACGAAGAGCATCCAGATTGTGTGTTTGTCGAAGACGTGAGTGTAGTGTGTGATGGAGTCGCCTTAATTTCCCGGCTTGGTCATCAAACGAGGCGTGGGGAATCCGCTAGAATGAAGTCAACTTTGGAGGAACTTGGATTGGTGGTGGCAGAAATGAAACCACCAGCTGCTTTAGACGGAGGAGATGTACTTTTCACTGGGAAAGAATTTCTTGTGGGGCTCTCTAAGAGGACGAATCAAGCAGGAATGGAAACTTTAGCCAAAACATTCCCCAGTTACCCTGTGACGGGGATTTCAGTAACCAGCCATCTTCACCTCAAATCTATGATGACGATGGGCGGTCATGACATCATCGTCGTTGGCGGAAGTAGCGAGGCTCAGAATGCTTGGATTGAAGTCGAGAAAAAGGCCAAGTTTCAGTATGAAAAGCTTGTAGTTTCTGATGACACTGCTGCTAATTGTCTTTTTGTCAATGGAACATTAATACATTTGGTTGCAGCTGAGATTCCCGACAGTTTCGAGGCGTTTAATCAAATTTCTTGTCCAAAGATGGAGCTCGAAAATTCTGAACTTAGTAAAGTTGATGGTTGTCTAACTTGCCTGTCTATATTGATATGATATATTAAATCCATTAATTAATTTAGTGGAGAAACTGTTGTTTTTGAGTTATTTTTTTGTAAAAAAAAATACCTCTTAGTCGGCGCGTCGGGTAGGTTATGGACGGGTCAATGGGTGGGTGGGTGAGTGAGTGAGTG